AAAATTCGAAAAAATTCAAAAATCCGATTTTCTTAAAATTCAACATTTTTTCCTCTCTTTTACGGAATTTAGCTTAATTATTTTTGTGCTTTTAGAAAATACTTTACTTATTAAATTGTCTCGACTCTTTGGTAAAAAATCTAAAATTATCGAAAATTTTCAAAAATCCGAATTTCTTAAAATTCAACATTTTTTCTTCTCTTTTATGGAATTTAGCTTAATTATTTTTGTGCTTTTGGAAAATACTTTACTTATTTAATAGTCTCGACTCTTTGGTAAAAAATCTAAAATTATCGAAAATTATCAAAAATTCAAAAATCCGAATTTCGTAAAATTCAACATTTTTTCCTCTCTTTTATAGGATTTAGCTTAATTATTTTTGTGCTTTTGGAAAATACTTTACTTATTTAATAGTCTCGAATCTTTGGTAAAAAATCTAAAATTATCAAAAATTCAAAAATCCGATTTTCTTAAAATTCAACATTTTTTCTTCTCTTTTATGGGATTCAGCTTCATTATTTTTGTGCTTTTGGAAAATACTTTACTTATTAAATTGTCTCGACTCTTTGGTAAAAAATCTAAAATTATCAAAAATTCGAAAAAATTCAAAAATTCGATTTTCTTAAAATTCAACATTTTTTCCTCTCTTTTATGGGATTCAGCTTCATTATTTTTGTGCTTTTGGAAAATACTTTACTTATTAAATTGTCTCGACTCTTTGGTAAAAAATCTAAAATTATCAAAAATTCGAAAAAATTCAAAAATCCGATTTTCTTAAAATTCAACATTTTTTCCTCTCTTTTATGGGATTCAGCTTCATTATTTTTGTGCTTTTGGTAAATACTTTACTTATTTAATAGTCTCGACTCTTTGGTAAAAAATCTAAAATTATCAAAAATTCGAAATAATTCAAAAATCCGATTTTTTTAAAATTCAACATTTTTTCCTCTTTTTTATGGAATTTAGCTTAATTATTTTTGTGCTTTTGGAAAATACTTTACTTATTTAATAGTCTCGAATCTTTGGTAAAAAATCTAAAATTATCGAAAATTATCAAAAATTCAAAAATCCGATTTTCTTAAAATTTAACATTTTTTCCTCTCTTTTATAGGATTTAGCTTCATTATTTTTGTGCTTTTGGAAAATACTTTACTTATTTAATGTAGGAAATTATTTGCTGATTAAGAATTTTAATTAAGGAAGATTTCGACTATATCAGCAATTAGTGACATCTATTAGACGTCAATTGAACTCTTTGGTTTAGAGTCAGGTGTTATTCTTAAGATAATTATTCCGATATGGTTGTCGGTAAATAATTATTTTTTCTTGAATTTAATTTTTGATCTGAAAAAATAAGCTGCGTGAACGACTGCACTGTGCATCTGTGAGGACTCGAACCCCAGTTAATAGCTGCCTTTCGCGGGACTAACGCCTACCAATGCACCATGCCAACACAGCCTGGACGTTCACGTTTCTTATAATCTCAGATCAAGCCCATACACTAGTCGAAGAGCTGTATAGTTAATGTAGGAAATTATTTGCTGATTAAGAATTTTAATTAAGGAAGATTTCGACTATATCAGCAATTAGTGACATCTATTAGACGTCAATTGAACTCTTTGGTTTAGAGTCAGGTGTTATTCTTAAGATAATTATTCCGATATGGTTGTCGGTAAATAATTATTTTTTCTTGAATTTAATTTTTGATCTGAAAAAATAAGCTGCGTGAACGACTGCACTGTGCATCTGTGAGGACTCGAACCCCAGTTAATAGCTGCCTTTCGCGGGACTAACGCCTACCAATGCACCATGCCATTTACTTATTTAATAGTCTCGACTCTTTGGTAAAAAATCTAAAATGATCAAAAATTCGAAAAAATTCAAAAATCCGATTTTCTTAAAATTCAACATTTTTTCCTCTCTTTTATGGAATTTAGCTTAATTATTTTTGTGCTTTTAGAAAATACTTTACTTATTAAATTGTCTCGACTCTTTGGTAAAAAATCTAAAATTATCGAAAATTTTCAAAAATCCGAATTTCTTAAAATTCAACATTTTTTCTTCTCTTTTATGGAATTTAGCTTAATTATTTTTGTGCTTTTGGAAAATACTTTACTTATTTAATAGTCTCGAATCTTTGGTAAAAAATCTAAAATTATCGAAAATTATCAAAAATTCAAAAATCCGAATTTCGTAAAATTCAACATTTTTTCTTCTCTTTTATGGGATTCAGCTTCATTATTTTTGTGCTTTTAAAAAATACTTTACTTATTTAATAGTCTCGAATCTTTGGTAAAAAATCTAAAATTATCAAAAATTCGAAAAAATTCAAAAATCCGATTTTCTTAAAATTCAACATTTTTTCCTCTCTTTTATGGGATTCAGCTTTATTATTTTTGTGCTTTTGGTAAATACTTTACTTATTTAATAGTCTCGACTCTTTGGTAAAAAATCTAAAATTATCAAAAATTCGAAAAAATTCAAAAATCCGATTTTCTTAAAATTCAACATTTTTTCCTCTCTTTTATAGGATTTAGCTTCATTATTTTTGTGCTTTTGGAAAATACTTTACTTATTTAATAGTCTCGACTCTTTGGTAAAAAATCTAAAATGATCAAAAATTCGAAAAAATTCAAAAATCCGATTTTCTTAAAATTCAACATTTTTTCCTCTCTTTTACGGAATTTAGCTTAATTATTTTTGTGCTTTTAGAAAATACTTTACTTATTAAATTGTCTCGACTCTTTGGTAAAAATCTAAAATTATCGAAAATTTTCAAAAATCCGAATTTCTTAAAATTCAACATTTTTTCTTCTCTTTTATGGAATTTAGCTTAATTATTTTTGTGCTTTTGGAAAATACTTTACTTATTTAATAGTCTCGACTCTTTGGTAAAAAATCTAAAATTATCGAAAATTATCAAAAATTCAAAAATCCGAATTTCGTAAAATTCAACATTTTTTCCTCTCTTTTATAGGATTTAGCTTAATTATTTTTGTGCTTTTGGAAAATACTTTACTTATTTAATAGTCTCGAATCTTTGGTAAAAAATCTAAAATTATCAAAAATTCAAAAATCCGATTTTCTTAAAATTCAACATTTTTTCTTCTCTTATATGGGATTCAGCTTCATTATTTTTGTGCTTTTGGAAAATACTTTACTTATTAAATTGTCTCGACTCTTTGGTAAAAAATCTAAAATTATCAAAAATTCGAAAAAATTCAAAAATCCGATTTTCTTAAAATTCAACATTTTTTCTTCTCTTATATGGGATTCAGCTTCATTATTTTTGTGCTTTTGGAAAATACTTTACTTATTAAATTGTCTCGACTCTTTGGTAAAAAATCTAAAATTATCAAAAATTCGAAAAAATTCAAAAATCCGATTTTCTTAAAATTCAACATTTTTTCCTCTCTTTTATGGGATTCAGCTTCATTATTTTTGTGCTTTTGGAAAATACTTTACTTATTTAATAGTCTCGACTCTTTGGTAAAAAATCTAAAATTATCAAAAATTCGAAATAATTCAAAAATCCGATTTTTTTAAAATTCAACATTTTTTCCTCTTTTTTATGGAATTTAGCTTAATTATTTTTGTGCTTTTGGAAAATACTTTACTTATTTAATAGTCTCGAATCTTTGGTAAAAAATCTAAAATTATCGAAAATTATCAAAAATTCAAAAATCCGAATTTCGTAAAATTCAACATTTTTTCTTCTCTTTTATGGGATTCAGCTTCATTATTTTTGTGCTTTTGAAAAATACTTTACTTATTTAATAGTCTCGAATCTTTGGTAAAAAATCTAAAATTATCAAAAATTCGAAAAAATTCAAAAATCCGATTTTCTTAAAATTCAACATTTTTTCCTCTCTTTTATGGGATTCAGCTTTATTATTTTTGTGCTTTTGGTAAATACTTTACTTATTTAATAGTCTCGACTCTTTGGTAAAAAATCTAAAATTACCAAAAATTCGAAAAAATTCAAAAATCCGATTTTCTTAAAATTCAACATTTTTTCCTCTCTTTTATAGGATTTAGCTTCATTATTTTTGTGCTTTTGGAAAATACTTTACTTATTTAATAGTCTCGACTCTTTGGTAAAAAATCTAAAATGATCAAAAATTCGAAAAAATTCAAAAATCCGATTTTCTTAAAATTCAACATTTTTTCCTCTCTTTTATGGAATTTAGCTTAATTATTTTTGTGCTTTTAGAAAATACTTTACTTATTAAATTGTCTCGACTCTTTGGTAAAAAATCTAAAATTATCGAAAATTTTCAAAAATCCGAATTTCTTAAAATTCAACATTTTTTCTTCTCTTTTATGGAATTTAGCTTAATTATTTTTGTGCTTTTGGAAAATACTTTACTTATTTAATAGTCTCGACTCTTTGGTAAAAAATCTAAAATTATCGAAAATTATCAAAAATTCAAAAATCCGAATTTCGTAAAATTCAACATTTTTTCCTCTCTTTTATAGGATTTAGCTTAATTATTTTTGTGCTTTTGGAAAATACTTTACTTATTTAATAGTCTCGAATCTTTGGTAAAAAATCTAAAATTATCAAAAATTCAAAAATCCGATTTTCTTAAAATTCAACATTTTTTCTTCTCTTTTATGGGATTTAGCTTTATTATTTTTGTGCTTTTGGAAAATACTTTACTTTTTTAATAGTCTCGACTCTTTGGTAAAAAATCTAAAATTATTAAAAATTATCAAAAATCCGAAAAATCGAATTTTTTAAAATTCAACATTTTTTCTTCTCTTTTATGCCATTTAGCTTTGTTATTATTTGAATTCTTATTTAAGAGAAAAAATGGAAAACTGAAAAAATTTAGAAATTTAGTGTGTAATAATTATTATTTCTTTAAAAAGTATTTAATTTAAAATGGCTTTTTAAAATAAGCAATGCAAAAGATGACCCAGATACTAATTGGAATTGATATTTGATAAATAAATGATCATGGGAAGGTAAATAATTGAATAAGAAATCCAATGTGTTTCGTCAGTAATGCGACGTTTCGTTGGCTAAGGTTTGCCAACCTCATCAGGCTAAATTTATTAAAAACAGAAAAGGCACTTTAATATTTATAAAGGTTTTCTAAAAAACACTATTTTTCACTAAAGTAATTAACAACGAATAATATCCTACCTAATTCATTAAAACATAAAAACACTATTTTAGTTCGTCATGAAGAATAAAAATTAAATAAATAAATAAATAAATTAAAAAACAAAACACGACACATATTCCACACAAGAGATTAAATTTATAATTATATAGAAGAAAAGGAGACATTCCTCTACAACGACTCAGTGTCAACTGAAATAAAATTAGAAACTGAGATAAGAAAGTCAAAACTATGAAAACTAAAAGAGTCAATGAACTGATATGTAAACACAGGTGGTCAGCAAGATATGTTATTGTTTTGTCATTATGGACATGAGTCTATACGTCTGAAAAGAGGAAAGAACGTTTTATTTAGAGTGAGAATATCTTCTTTTCTGTTAATAGTGGAATGATTTGTTTTTATGTGGATCATTTCCGATATTCGTCGTTTTATAAAATTTTTTTCATTGTCCAAAACCTTCACATTTTCCCAATCAAAATCATGATTGAAATTGATACAATGTCGGTACACTACAGAGTTGTCATTCACTTTTTTATGTTCGTTTATGCGAGTTAGTAAAGATCGTTTCGTCTCGCCAATATATGTTGCAGGGCAGGTTTTACAATCAAACTTATATACAACATTTGTTCTATCCCATTTTTTTGTCGAATCTTTACCTAGTTTGATGATAGAACTAGAATTTTTATTTATAAGAGGAATAGACGTGCAATTAAACTCTCTAAGGATATTTGACAACTTGAAAAAACATTTTTCATTAAAAGGTAAACAAACTTTTGGAATTTTACTATATATATTAGTTTTGTTATTATTATTATTAACATCAGAAAATTTTATTTTATTAACACGAATCTTGATATGTTTTTCAATGAAGTCTGAAGGATAGTTATTGTTTTTTAAAATATTTTTAATTTTTTTCAAGTTGTCAAATTGGAATTTTTTATTGGACAATGAAAATGCCCTATCTACAAGATTATATACAATATTCTTCTTCTGTTGAAGTGGATGATCTGAAAAATAGTTAATGAGTCTATCTGATGAAATCGGTTTTTGATACCAATTTGTAATAATTTTGTTGTTGTCTCTGATAAGCTTTAGATCGAGAAAGTTAATAGAATTTTCTTTTTCTTTTTCAACAGTAAATTGTAATTTTCGATTGTAAGAGTTAAAAGTGTCAATGACCAGATCAACATGTTCTTTTTTTATGGCTAAAATTGTGTCATCCACATACCTATAATAGAAAAGTGGAACACAATTATGTTTTTCTTTTAACTCTTTTAAACATTCAGTTTCCAGATCATCCATTACAATATCCGAGACGAAAGGTGAAATTGGAGAACCCATCGGAGTTCCGTATGTCTGTCTGTAGAATTTTCCATCAAAAGAAAAATATGTATTATTAAATACAAATTTAGTAAAATCAATAATGTCAGAGAATGGAATTTTACATTTTTGGTTTATACAACTAACACGTCGATCCAAACTCTGAATGACCAACTCACAAGACACATTTGTAAACATGGAACTTACGTCAAGTGAGATAAAAGTGTAGCTGTCGTCCATAGTAACATTGTCTAATTTGTTTTTAAGTTCTAAACTATTGTTAATGTGTGACCGAGGTAAAGTAATACAATTTTTTAAGGAGTTGTACAATATTTTTGCGAGAAAATGAGTAGGGCTATTTATTAAGGAAATAATCGGACGAAGTGGGACATTTTCTTTATGTATTTTTGGGAGTCCATAAGCTTTAGCCAAAACAGTGTCAGTCAAAGTCAATTGATTCGGGTGATAAACTTTGTCAAGGAATTCATTTTCATTTAAATATTTAAGAATTGATGATGTATTTTTGATAAGTTTTTTAATTGGATTCTTTTTTATAAGTTCATATGTTGTAGTGTCAGTAAACATATTTGTCATTTTTTGATTATAGTCAGTTTTCTTTAAAAGTACTGTCACATTGCCTTTATCGGCAGGAGTGAAAAAAAGTTCAGGATTATTTTTTAAAAAAGTTTTTGTAATATTTAATTTTTTTGAAAAAGATTTATCTTGATTAGTTAATGAATTCTTATTTTTCAAATTATTTGACAAAACATCAGAAAATTTTCCCCTTAAAGTATTTTTTGAATTTTCATCAATGTCGACTTTTGATAAACAAAACTTTGTTTATGACTTTGACTGACACTGTTTTGGCTAAAGCTTATGGACTCCCAAAAATACATAAAGAAAATGTCCCACTTCGTCCGATTATTTCCTTAATAAATAGCCCTACTCATTTTCTCGCAAAAATATTGTACAACTCCTTAAAAAATTGTATTACTTTACCTCGGTCACACATTAACAATAGTTTAGAACTTAAAAACAAATTAGACAATGTTACTATGGACGACAGCTACACTTTTATCTCACTTGACGTAAGTTCCATGTTTACAAATGTGTCTTGTGAGTTGGTCATTCAGAGTTTGGATCGACGTGTTAGTTGTATAAACCAAAAATGTAAAATTCCATTCTCTGACATTATTGATTTTACTAAATTTGTATTTAATAATACATATTTTTCTTTTGATGGAAAATTCTACAGACAGACATACGGAACTCCGATGGGTTCTCCAATTTCACCTTTCGTCTCGGATATTGTAATGGATGATCTGGAAACTGAATGTTTAAAAGAGTTAAAAGAAAAACATAATTGTGTTCCACTTTTCTATTATAGGTATGTGGATGACACAATTTTAGCCATAAAAAAAGAACATGTTGATCTGGTCATTGACACTTTTAACTCTTACAATCGAAAATTACAATTTACTGTTGAAAAAGAAAAAGAAAATTCTATTAACTTTCTCGATCTAAAGCTTATCAGAGACAACAACAAAATTATTACAAATTGGTATCAAAAACCGATTTCATCAGATAGACTCATTAACTATTTTTCAGATCATCCACTTCAACAGAAGAAGAATATTGTATATAATCTTGTAGATAGGGCATTTTCATTGTCCAATAAAAAATTCCAATTTGACAACTTGAAAAAAATTAAAAATATTTTAAAAAACAATAACTATCCTTCAGACTTCATTGAAAAACATATCAAGATTCGTGTTAATAAAATAAAATTTTCTGATGTTAATAATAATAATAACAAAACTAATATATATAGTAAAATTCCAAAAGTTTGTTTACCTTTTAATGAAAAATGTTTTTTCAAGTTGTCAAATATCCTTAGAGAGTTTAATTGCACGTCTATTCCTCTTATAAATAAAAATTCTAGTTCTATCATCAAACTAGGTAAAGATTCGACAAAAAAATGGGATAGAACAAATGTTGTATATAAGTTTGATTGTAAAACCTGCCCTGCAACATATATTGGCGAGACGAAACGATCTTTACTAACTCGCATAAACGAACATAAAAAAGTGAATGACAACTCTGTAGTGTACCGACATTGTATCAATTTCAATCATGATTTTGATTGGGAAAATGTGAAGGTTTTGGACAATGAAAAAAATTTTATAAAACGACGAATATCGGAAATGATCCACATAAAAACAAATCATTCCACTATTAACAGAAAAGAAGATATTCTCACTCTAAATAAAACGTTCTTTCCTCTTTTCAGACGTATAGACTCATGTCCATAATGACAAAACAATAACATATCTTGCTGACCACCTGTGTTTACATATCAGTTCATTGACTCTTTTAGTTTTCATAGTTTTGACTTTCTTATCTCAGTTTCTAATTTTATTTCAGTTGACACTGAGTCGTTGTAGAGGAATGTCTCCTTTTCTTCTATATAATTATAAATTTAATCTCTTGTGTGGAATATGTGTCGTGTTTTGTTTTTTAATTTATTTATTTATTTATTTAATTTTTATTCTTCATGACGAACTAAAATAGTGTTTTTATGTTTTAATGAATTAGGTAGGATATTATTCGTTGTTAATTACTTTAGTGAAAAATAGTGTTTTTTAGAAAACCTTTATAAATATTAAAGTGCCTTTTCTGTTTTTAATAAATTTAGCCTGATGAGGTTGGCAAACCTTAGCCAACGAAACGTCGCATTACTGACGAAACACATTGGATTTCTTATTCAATTATTTACCTTCCCATGATCATTTATTTATCAAATATCAATTAAACCATGGAAGGATTTAAATCTACTCAATTACTAATTGGAATTGTTATAGCCATAGTTAAAGTCTGGTAATGTAAATTCTATTTAAATTGAGACCATTGAGTGAAATTATTTGAATTTTAGTTAGTTAAATCTCTTTGTTAGGTTATAATAATTATTTCTTTAAAATTTTTTAAATTGTTTAAAATAAGCAGCCCTATACAACTCTCCCTCGTGCTTGCGCGCGGATAGTTTGGCTAGTAAAGAATAAAATAAAATTTGGAAGTTCGATGAAAAATTTTTGTCAAAATGTTATTTATCTCTATATGAATACAAATGCAGTTTTTTGTCTCTAGGAGGCATAAATCAAAGCAAGTAGGAATTGCCATAGCAAGAAGTGTGAATCTTATGATGTATTATTTGTATGCTGCATATACACTATAGTATATATTCAGAAATGAAAATCTCTCTGAGGCAAGATGCAATTCAGAACCTGCCTAGGTTTTCCTATATATATATATATATATTTATTTTTTCGTTCGTTGAAAGTAGAGTAGCGAGAATAGTATGTGTTGCAGTGAACAAGGAGATAAAAAAAGAAAATAAATTTTCTAAGCTTAGAGTGCACTTTCGTTGTGTCATTTTGCCAGAATGTTCTATTTTACACGGGACACACGGGTCATCTTTTGTATTTTTTGGAAGAGTTGCGAAATATCTTTATTCAATTTTCTCCCAAAAAAACCATTTTTCTGCAATATTGATTTTCTACGATATTTTATTTGATTTTTCAGTATTTTCAAGTAACATTCCATAAAAAGCGTTGAATTACGAATAAAAACAAAAATTCCTCCAAATGTTTTCTTTTTTGAAAGCTTAAAAGGGAATTTTTTTTCATTTTCGAACTTTTATTCCATTTGAGCCATTAATACAAGTATCGTATTGAAAGTGAATGAGGGTTGTTAGGTAAAAAGGGAAGGTTGTTATTTCAGTTATTTTTTCAGAACTTGGAAAACTGCAAATTTCGTGTTGTTTGGAATCGGTAAATTAGAATAAAGTGTTAAAGATTCAAAATTTAGTATTGATTGGAATTTTCAGTAGTGACAGTCGCTTTCAATCAGACAGAAATATTTTTCATTCGTCTAGATGTGTTCACAGTAGTAAAAGTCAATTGCATTCAGACAGCATGCAAATAGAGGCTTTCGATTGTTAATAATAAGTCGTTTATTTTATTCCATGTCGTAAAAGAAAATTTCATTTTGTAATTTCCTCACATTTTAACCTGGAAAACTTGGAAAAGTCAATTTGAAAAGAGCAAAAGCGTGGCGACCGTGTATAAACATTAATTATTTTTTTTAGTAGTTATGGTAAATTTTAGCCAGACATGGATTTTCTATCCCCAAATTTTCAAGTTTTCTCAATTTCCACAGCATAAATTATCAATTTAAAGAAAATTTTTTTTAAGTAGAAACAATTTTCCTCTTGTATTTTAAATGAACTTCAAATGTAAAACTCACAGAGGAAAAGAGAATTATTAAGTTCTCAAGGGATGACTTATTTTTTCACCAACACTGTATAATTTTTCATTTATTTTCTGAAGTACACACAAATTGCTTATCTTTTTTTTCACGAAAAATTAAAACTCTATTTTCTATATTTCTTATTTTTTCCCTCCATTGGTCACAAAGTGAATAGAAATACTGTGTAAATAGTGTGTAAAGAGGAAAAAAAGATAATCAAGAAGGAAATGTACACAATATGATTATATTTATCTCGTACACTCTCTCTCATTACTCCATGCACCTCATTCCGAGAAAAAGAGAAGAATATTAGAGGAAAAGAAATGCAAGTATTTATCAACTCAGTGCAATGTTGTTTTCTGACGCTGTTTATATGTCGAGAGAAGAAAACGACGACGACGACGACGACGACCTGTGCGAGAAGAAATCAGCATGAGATGTCTGCAAATTCACGTTTCGAAGTATTTCGTTTCATTAAATTAAATTCAACGTGCAGATGAATAGAACTGAGGAAAGCAGAGACGAGTCTTCGTACTGAGGTTAAGCTAGGTTATCCATTAAGATGGCATCAACCCTCTCATTCCCAACCTGGAAAATCTTCGTTTACTTCTTCCATCTTTCTCTCTCGTTTTCTCTCATTCTCTCTTGACTAGTTTTAAAAACACGATTCTCCTTCGTCCGCACCTGCTATCGACGATTGAGTACATCCATCCTAGATTCCCTTTCCTTTTCGGATTCCAATCGGAATGACGAAGAACCATGTTATACGTCGTTTCTGACGTACTTTATGCTCCTGTAATCCTTTCCAATGTGTCTTAAGTACCCGTGCAGAAATTTTGACCGGGGCCAGATCGGGGCCAGATCGGGACAAACCGGGCCCCGATCTGGCAACCCGACCTGGCCCCGGTCTGGTTGAAACACTAAAACCGACCGGGGCCATGGCACTTTGCCCGATCTGTCCGCCCTGTCGGGACCCGGTCGGGGCCATGGGATTTCCCCCGATCTTTTCGCTACCCAGGTAGAAATCCAATACTGACTGCATTTTATTATATTAAAGCTCGTTATTTGATTATTAAAGCATGGGGAGTATTTACTTCAATATTAATAATTATTATTATTTTTGTAGTAAATAAACTTTTATGAATGTCATTAAAAATGTAAATAATTATTAGAATTGCTTTTATTGAACTAAGTTTTTAAAAAAAATATTTTTCTTATTTTCTTTCATTAATTTAGACAGACTATCTTATTTAAATTAATGCCTAATTTATTATTATTATTGTTAATAATTATTTAAACCTATACTTTATGTAACATTATTAAGAATTATACACAAAACACTTAAAACTAAGACGGAAAAATATCGCACGCACGGGGGATCGAACCCTAGACCTCGAGGACGCAAGTCAAATACACATACCGCAAAGCCACGCAAGCTTGGAAGCGACCTCGCTTAAACTTCCTTTTGAAT